CCAGCAGGGGGCGACTCCTCTGCTCCCATAGACGTCTATGAAGGAAATGACTAAATTCTCTCTTGATTTATTCCCTCAGTAAACATTGTAAACATGAGTTTATGGTCTCAGTCTCTAGTTTCACGTCTTCTTCAATACAACGTGATGTTCATTTAGTGACTGATGGTCCATTTAGAGTCAAACAGACCAGGAAGCAGAGGATGCTTTAGGGCGGGGCTACACGCTGATTGACAGGTCTCCACCAGAGACGTCCATATATGGTCACTTCATGTTTAATGGTGAACTCGTCCACTTCTGACACAGCGTCTCTGGCTTCAGTCCACAGGTGAGAGGGGAGACCTGAGCTGTGGGTGGGCCTTCCTCAAACTGACCGACGACACTGGGAACCCTCTCCCCCACAGGTACACACCCAATAACACACACACACACACACACAGCAAGGCCTCGTGTTGTGTAGTAACGTGCACAACAATGTGTGTAGGACCTTTGAGCTGACGGTGAATGGAGGGACTCCCTATGAGAAGGATGTGGAGATGGAGGCCTCGGCCCCCACAGGACGTAAGGAGACCATCGAGACTCCTTAAGCACCCGGCCCACCAGGGGGCCTCGATGATGTCATGGGGCAGAGGGGGCATTACGTTGTCATTCAGCTGACGCGTTTATCCAAAGCGACTTACATTACATGGATCAGTTAGGAGTCTCGCTCAGGGACACTGCGACATGGGACGTGGAGCAGCCGGGATTCAAACCGCCAACCTTGTGCACCCCGGCACATTCTACTCCATGCGCCACCGCTGCCCCTGGGCATCATGGGAGCTGGTGTCTTTGTTGTAAAGTAACCATTATGTGTCCTCGCCCATCTCTGCACTTGTCCTTCACCCTTCCCCCCCCCTCCTCTCCCCCTCCTCCCCCCCTACTCTCCCCCTACTCTCCCCCTCCTCCCCCCTCCTCCCCTCTCAGCCCCAGGCGGCGTCTTCCAGCAGATGCTTCAGGCCCGCCGTCGGCCCAAACTGATCCTAAAGCTTAAATCGTGCGGCAATGAGACCAGAACTCGTCTCAGGTGGGATTAAGAACGTTAGATAACCAAACCATCAGCTCCTCTTGAGTGTCCTTGTCTCCTCTCCTCCTGAGTGT